TATATATATATATATATATATATATATATATATATATATATATATATATATATTACTTAAGTGTTACGATTCTGAATACCTACCCGTTGAAAGTGATGGAAAAGTTTCTGTTTTTCCACCAAGTCCCATGTATATAACAGCAAGAATCCCAAAAAATAAGGCAAGTACCACTACGAGAATTACAGATATCATATTGTGATTATTTCGTACATCTTCCCTATTTGTAGGTGATTGTTTAAACATTCTGTTCATTGTTTCTCGAGATCTATCAATAGATGATGTTGTATGTCTAGAACTGGAAGATATTCATTTTATATGGAAAATATTTATTATGATGTAAATATAATTTAATATATAAATATAATTTACAATATATATTTATATATTTATATATAATTTACAATATAATTTACAATTTACTATAATACAATCTCAATTGATATAATGTAACAAGATCATTTTACTAATTAAAAGATTATTAATTAAAATGTTAAATATTTATTACATCTATTTATAATATATATTAAATGTGTATACTTAATGTGTATACTGAAATTAGTATTCATTGACATAATTTATTGATATAGCTATATTCAGATATATATAACTCATAAAAGCATTTTAAATTTTAACTTTGTGAATTGATATACATATATTTTTGTTTATTTTTTTATTAATATTAAATCCCTTTATTAACTATCTTTTTTATTAACTAGTTGTTATAATGTAAATATTGTAAAAATTAATCTAATTTTTAAAAATTGGAATGTACATAAAGCTTAAAAAAAAAGACAGACATTGTAAAATCAGCTTATATTTTTCAAAATATTTTATATTATTTATTTATAATCTTCATTACTAATAGCTAAATTTAAATCTTTAATTTTTGATTTTATAACTTATATTGAATTTTTTAATTACATACATACATACCTTGAACTAGATGATGGATATAATGATCTTAAAGAAGAAAAATGACCATTTGAATCTTTTTCTTTTAAATCTGGTACATTTGATGTAAATCGTGATGGACCTAAATGATAAATATATAAAATAATAAACAATGAATTTATTAATATACATTGTGCATTAATTATATGTATTTAATAGATCTTACTTTTTAATGTAGACAAAGATGTAGATGGTAAATTAATGGATGATCGTGAACTTAATCTCCTAGTAAATTCCGATAAGAATGGTGTTTCATAATTTGCTAGAAGATCTCTTTGATTTGTATTGTCTTTTATACATGTATCTTCATTTAATGAATGTATTGGAGAAATGTTTGAATCAAAAAGCGATTCACTATATTTATTATCTTTCACTACGTGAATAGATTTTGGTTTTGAATCATATGATTTTGGAATTTGATCTTGATCAGAAATATTATGCTCATAGATTTTAGATTCTTGAAATTTTCCTGTGTTAGATAAATATTTAGATGGAGAATATGTTTTAATTGGTTCTTCAATAACATCAGAATCTGAACCAGTTTCCAATCCATCAGTTACACTTGATGATTTATTTGTTTTTGTATATTTTTTATGAGTTTTTGTTATTGTACGTTGAGTTGTAAATTGTGAAGAACTATCATAATCTGGTACTATAGGATCTTTAAATTCAGAATGCGTTGTTTTATCTTTAATTGGACTTTTTGATATGTTTATATCAGAAGATGTTGAAACTGATGCTGGTGGAGGCATAGGATTTGCTAAAGTTTGTCTTCTAATATTTACTGTTGCTTTTTTCTTTTTATTAATTGTTGAACTTGTGTCATCATCTGTATCTTCACTGCTATACCTAATATATAAATATATAAATATAATGACAATTTTGCTATAAAACTCATTAGAATAATTATTAAATAATGTATATATAACTATAATAAAATATAAAATAAAAAATTGAAATAAAGTTCTTTATAATAAGATATATAAGATATATAAGGTAAACAATAGCAAAACAATACTATTGAAGATTTTTCAACTATAAATAATATTTAAGTTTGATACAAAAGAAACAAGAATGAAATAAATATAAAAATTCAAAATTGAAATGAACTAAAAAATTGCAAGGATATTATAAACTAAAAGTACCTGGCAGCTAACGAATGTCGTGACCCTGTACCGCCTCGAGTTTCAATAAGATTTTTTAATTTTTTTACAAGAATTTTTCTAGTGGTTTGTGTTACGGGACCTACAGGATATCCATATTCCATCAATTTACTTCGCAATTCTGAATCACTCAAAGCATCCACCGACATTTTGTTTATACAAAAAAAAGTGCTCTTAAAAGAACCCGGTAAAAATGTTGCCTCGTGTAATACGAAGCTCTTACTACGTTTTTATGAAATGTAATTAGAATTTCGTTCAAATCACATAAATGAAAATTCGCACTATCACTAAACTGCACATATATTAGGTTTCAGAATATCATGAATATTTTTCATAATACTACACAACTTAAAAAATAATCTTGGTTATAACTAAAAAATGGCGCAATTTTCTAACGGTCGCAATCACGCGCATACTCGTTCACACTATTTCACGCTCAACTCTGTCATCTATAGTCATAGAATAAGATTTATCAAGATGACATTAGTATTATTTTGTTAAATTTTTTATTCAATTACTCATTTAAAATTTATTTGATGTTGAAATCATATCTTTTTATGATATATTTAACTATTACTTTAAATGAATGACTTTTACATTTATAATTTTTAACAATTTAAATAATTAAATAATGAATTCATCAAAATTTTTAACGAGTTACATATCATCGATTTATAATTTTTGGAACGATATTTTGGAATGTGTTAAGCAATGTTAATGTTATATACTAATTATAGAAGGCTATATGATCATGAATTACGCATAGCTTTTATTATGAAAGAAAAATAATAACGTTATAAATAATTATAATTGCTATGTATTTTTTAATCAATTATTTATTTTTTATGTTTTTAATATAATATATAAAGAACAGAAAAATTTAATATATAATTTAATGGGATGAAAAAAAATTTTTATATTCTTTACTTTTTTGTTTTATTAAATATTATTTATATATTAATATAGTATAATAAATTTTTAAATTTTTTATTGTTAATCATTTATGTTTTTATCTTAAATTATAAACTTTTACAAATCCTTGTCTTTAATTTTAACTTCATTATTTTAATTTACTTTTAATATTTTTAAATTTTAATATAATCTTGTAAATATATTTTGAACTTCAGTTTAAAATTTTGATTTTATTTTTAATTATAGATATAATATATTTTAATTATAATTTTCAATTTAGTTTACTTAAAGCTCTATTTTAATTTTATATTTATTATGGAATAAAAAATCTTTTTATTATAACTTATTTAACTCATTTATTTATTAATTTTTAAGTTATTTATATAAATATTAAAAGAAAAACTATTATTGTTTTATTATTAAATTTTTTTATAATTATCTTTAATATCGTAATAAATATAATCCATTTCTTATAATAGGATAATCTGGCAAATTTTCAATACGACCAAGTGCTATAACAACTGGACTTTGATCATAAATATATTTTTCAGAAACTTCTCTTATTTTATCTACCGTTATTTTCTGTAATATAAAATTATTATTTTATAATAAAAAATAATTTTTTAACAAAAAAATTTACCTCATATTCTGCAATTCTTTGTTCAATAGGTTCATAACATCCATATCTAAAAACATTTTCAACAATATCAAAAAAACGATTTGTTGGATCATCCAATATTGTCAAATTATTTGTAACACATTGATTAACAGCTCGACAGACTTCTTTTTCGGTTATTGTTGTACATAATTTCATCCATTCTTTTTGTAATGCACGAATCATATCCTATATAAATGTTTCAAATATAATGATCGTTAAGATTGAATTTCCTTAAAATATTTAAAATATACCAAAAGACATAATTTGTTACAAACGAAATAACAGCCCCAAATACTAGTAGTCTGTGCCCAATTATGAAAAAAGGATTTGTACATGTAACACAAATCTGTATTGAATGCTAAGTGTGCAATATATGGTGCATTATTATTTCTTCCGCCTAAAGATAAGTATTACAAACATTTCATAGTTTGTATTAAATGATATTTCCAAATATAAGATTTTTGCTTACTACATGTCTTGTCCCAAGAACCTACAATTTCTTTAGCTACAGTAAGTGCAATATGATCTTCACGTTGTTTATAACTTGATCCTTCAAGTCCTATTGCTACATATCCTAATTCATTATCGTCATCTCTTAGTCGTAATTCAGCAGCTTGATTATACATAACATATTTATATATATTATATATAAAAATATAACAAAGAAAAATATTAAGATACAATTTAAAATTTTTTTTACCTGAGAATCGGTATTCAAGTGATTCTCTATAAGATTGCATTTTGTTAAAAACTCCAAATATCGATTTATAATCTTCAACATCACATTTAAAATGTTTACAAACAATTTCTTGCAATTCTTTTAAGTTAATAGATCCAGTACTAATCATTGTCATGCAACATATTTGAAATAATCGATTACGAAATTCAATCAAATTTTTTGTACAAAATTTTCTAAAAATTTCATATTACAATCAATAAATATGCATACATGATATTTATTAACTAATTTTTATAAATTTTATTTTTTGGATTTTTATACTTACTTTACTATATCAGTTTCAGGATATACACTATTACCAAGAGCAGTATCCTGATATGCAATACTTGGTAAATAATCCATTACAACTTTTTCTCTATCTGATTCTATTTGACAAAGTTCATGTAAAATTATATTCTTTTCTTGTATAACATCTTTATCACCTATCAAAATATAAAAAAGTATATTATTATAACAAAAAATTTTCATGGATAAACAAATTTTTCAACTCACATATTTCTCCATTCAAAATTATATCTGCAAATAATTGAATGAGTTTATCTACTTTACATGAAAGTACTGTTCCATAAAAAACAAATATGTCTCGCATAGCAATAGCTGTAATTTTTCCACCAATTTCTTCTAATATATTTTCCAATTCTTCCTTATTTTTATTTTTTGTCCTCTATATTGGATTCAAATATTTATAATTTTAATAAATTCTCTATAAATTCTTATATTAATTAATAAAAAAATATCCATTTCTATTTATCACATGTATATTATATGTTTTGTAATATTTTTTTCTTACTTTGAAAAATAAATGTTCTAAAAATAGAACGCTACCACGTTCTTCTGGCATTTCATACATTGCACCAGCTGGTACGAAACATCCTATGGTAGTGGTGAAAGAATTTCTATATTCACATATAAGACGCAGACCATTATTCATGTAACAAGATTCTACTGAATTTTCTGTATTTATATATGTATTTAAAACATTAGATGTCTGTCTAAAAATGCTTTTATAATCTTTATATGTTTTATAATGTTTATTTGAAATATAAACAAGACCCTTAAAAATAAATTTAAATAATAAATAACATTATCTTTAATGCTTTCAATAAATAATTTAAAAAAATTATGCAACATACTCTTTTAATATATTTATATATAATATTGTTTTGCATCTGTAATAAATATTTTGAAACTAATATCATTTTTTAATTCATATATAATATAATATCTTATTTATATTAGATACACATACAAACTGTAGTTAATATTCATATTTAAATAATTGAAAATATACAAATCTTTCTTTTACTTTTTTTTTTAATATATAGGGCGTTAATATATTCGAGAGACATTTTTGAAGAATTAATTTTAAATACTTAAATGAACATAAAGATTGATATAAAAATATTAAAGCTTATTTATTAAACTTATTTATTATTTAAGTTAATTGAAATAAGTCAGAAATAGAATGCTTTATTTCCATTACATCCTCTTATTCTATTTTCATTTTGATTTACTTTGACGTGAATTTAAGTTATTTGTATTTTAATAAATACTTCAATATTTTTGTATATCAATTTTTGTATTTGTTTTGATCTTTAATCAACATTCCAAAGATGTCCCATAAATATATTAAAATATATGAAAAATGATTTTCATTAATTTTACATCAATTAATTTTTATATCTTAATTATAACAAGAAATAAAATAATTTTCCAATTTGATGAAATATAAGTTTTATTATATGCAATGATATTAACAATATAAGAAAAAAATGGAATAATGTACTATTAGTATAAAAATCAATGATACAGTTTTTCATATATGAATATTCATATAATTTCAAATATAAAATAAAATATATATGTTTTATAAATGATGATTAGTATATAAAATTTGACTTTATATTCATTTTTGTGTTTTTTTTAGAATTGATTTGTACACATGTACATATGAAAATTTCTTAATTAATAATTTTTTAAAATATTAACCATCACTTATTGGTATTTTTTTATTTTTCTTTTTCTAATAAATAATTCATAAATCATTTTTTCAAAATATTTTTAAATATTTTAAACATATTATTTTTATTTAATAAATTTGATTTATGAAGTTAAAAGAATTTAATAAAGAATAAAAACATATATCTATTGTCTTAATATCATTATCCATAATATATTTAATTTCTCCTCCTTTTTTTTCCCTTCCTTTTTTCTCTGCCTCCTATCTATTTCCCTACTATCAAATAATATATTTAAAATATTTCATTCGTATATAATAGTACCTTCATTCGATAATGAAATTTCATTATCATTACAAATCCGATTAGTTATAGTAAATACTGCTGACATAAAATTAATATAATCAAATTGCACACAAATAGTTATATACAATATAATGGAACTGTAACACATGTGAATAAATATATTGAACACATGAAAGTTATAAAATTAGAATATAAACTTTAAATACTATTCTATATTCCACATTATAATTTATTTATTATTTAATAAAAGTAAAAAAAATTATTTCTAATTTTTAATTTGTTCTATTCATTTTTTGCGGAAAATAAATTTATTTAACAATAAAATGTCGAGTTATTGATATTTTCAGAATAATTCTGAAAATTTTCTCAAATGCTTATGCTGATATTTAAACGTGTATTAAACATATATTTAAATCTCTTAATTATGTTAAATTTACACGTTTATATCTATTACAACTATGTTTCATCAAAAGAAGTAATTATTTTAACATTCGGTCTTTGTGACTTAAAAGTTTCGACACCTTGCCTTGTCACAGATGTACCACTTACATCAAGATGTTCGAGATTCGATGCATTTAAAGCCAAATGAACAAGACTTGAATTTGTAACATGCGGATAATTTCTGAAACACGTAAAAAATTATTTTTTAGATTTATTTTATGAATTATAAATTGCAGCATTTAATAATAACTAATATAATAATATAATAATACCTAACAACTAATGTTTTTAAATGAGGATTATTAAATATTCGTTTATCTCCTTCTACAACTATAACTTCTTCTGCAGAATTGTTGATTATACGATCACATGTATCACTTCCAAGAGCACAGATTGCTCTGTCCGTTATTAAACAACGTCCAAACATATAATTTTCCCAACGAAATCCATCTTCGACAAGAAACTATATAAACAAGGAGAACAAGAAAAAATGAGTAAAGTAAAAATTATAAAATAAGATTGCAAGTATAAATGTTAATATATTCGTGAAATATTTGAAAATACAAAAGTTGATATACAAAAATGATTAAGGCTTATTTATTTATTAAATCATAAAAAATTTAAGTTAGAAAAGAGATAAAGTCATAATAAGATATAACTATGTTATATCTTGTTATTTTTGTCTCATTTCATTTAACAATTTTATCTAACAACAATTTCAATTATTTAACAAATAAGTTTCAATCGATATTTTTGTACATTATCTTTTATTTGTTTTGGCTTTAGAATCAATTTTCCAAAGATTATCTTACGAATATATTAGCACTTTGTAGAATTAATTTTGTAATTTTTGCATATTATTCTTATACTTGTGCAAGATTTCCATCTTCATATACAGGAAGTTGATTCAAAACTTCACGTTGTAAAGGTCGAGGTTCTGAATCAGGTGATTCTGCATTTCGTAAACTGGAAGGACATTCCAAGTAAAGATGTGTCAAAGTTTTAGTACAACTGAAACATCCAACTTCACTATCACCAAGTGCAGTATCTCGTAAATCAAGAATCTGAAATATATAATTACTTAATTATTTAAGTTATTAATTTATTAAATGAAAACATTAAGAAAAAGATTGTTTACTTCTAATGTTTTAAATCCAAATCTTGTAGCTAAACTAGTATATGCTACACATTCACCTAAACGGTGACACGAATTTAGCCTTAATTCTTTCAATTTTGGCATTTTACTAATAACCAATAATGAATGTGGAGTAAACCATTGGCAATTACTTAGAATTAAACACTGAAAAATATGTAGATATTATAAATCATTAAATACTACTTAAATGTGTATATATTAGTAAAAATTTAAATAAAATAAAACAAAAAGTAATAATAAAAAGAAACATAGTAAATGAAATTATATTTAATTGGTTCTTCTTTTTATATTATTAGAATATTTGTCACAGATTTGGAAGAAAGTGAGTTATTTAAAAATGAACCTACCAAATAATTATTAAGTGAAAGAACTTCTCAATTTGCAATTAGTGTAAGCAGTTGTTCTGTAACTTACAGTTATTTATTTATAATAAAATATAAAAAAGTGGTACAACAAAACTAATCAAATATATATGTATATACTGAAAGAAAAGTGAAAATACATGCAATTGAAAAATGAGATTCTTACTGTTAAATTAGGCATATGGAAATTCATTTTGAAAAAGTATGATTTATTACTACGCAAATATCCCATTTTGCAACCTTCTAATGAAAGTTTTTCTATTGTACTTGGAAAATCTGTTATCTGAATCTGTAAAGAGAGATTTATTTTAAAATTATATAAAAGAACTTTTTTAATCTTAAAAAATAATTAAATATTTAAATTTACCTTGTCTCCATTAATGCAATATTCCTCAATAATCAATTCTTTCAATTGAGTGCATATAGTCTTAATTGAATTAAAAAAGCAAGGACTAAGTTCTGTGTCATGTTCACAATATAAATCACCACGCATAGCAAGACTTGTTGTTATAGGTTGAAGAAATTTTATATATTCTTTTAAATCATTTAATAACATAGGTGTTTCTCGAAAATCTACCCTTCTCCATAAAGTTTTATCTTGTGCTATTTGACCTAATCGTTGACAAGATCTGGAAAAAATAATAAAAAAATATTATTTATAGAATATTAATTATATGCTAAAATTTTTTTAAAACTTACAAATTTATTGCCATAAGATCTTTAGGATTCAAATATTTAAATATATTTAACAAGACATCATCTGAGAAGTCTAATATATGTGGATGAATGATTATATTATTTGTCTTCTCATTTTCTTCAAATTTAATACGTTTCATATCTTCTTCACTACTAGAAGCTTTAGGGGATAAAGATCTACTGCGTTTCATTTTCATTTTTTTTTTTACACCTATATAAAATAGAAAATTAAAATAAAATATTTTTCTATCTTAAATTGAAATACAATAAAATTTCAAATTTTTAAGAATTATTCTATATAAGTTTAATATTTTATAATAAAAATTCTTATTATTAATTTTACATTCAAAAAGTCAATCTAAATAAGAGTTTGAATAAAAATTAAATTTATAAAATTAAATATATATAATTATATATACATAAAACAATTAAACGATTAGGTATCGAGAACACTTGTTCTTCTAATGGTTTTAATTCTTTTTGCATTTTGTTCCAATAATTTTAGAAAACTGAAAGTGTTTTCTGTTTTCAAATTGAAATTGACGTAAAAACACAAAGAAAGTTTTGTTCACAAAACAGTCTAATTCTGACTGCTGAATAAGCTCTGTTTCTTTGGCTGAAACCCAGAAATAGTGATAAAATTTCTGCCAACCATATGCCACTATAATCAATGATCCTACATAAATTTTTATATATTTTATAAATAAAAGTAGATATTCTAATATATTTATAAGAATTTTTTTATAAAAAAAAATTATAAATAATTTTTAAAAAAATTATATTACAATAATGTTTAGTCTTATTTGCGAGAAATAAAATTTTCTAAATTATACAATTTATATATATTATGAAAAAAACTTTCTTTTATATCAAAAACATTTAGAAATCATCATAATCTAAGCAAAAAATTGATGCTTAATAAAATTTAAACATTTATTCAATAATATTACGATAATATAATACATATATAACAATTTATATTTCAAAATTTTTATCTAACTAAATAAAATATCTTTTATTTAAATAAATTATAAGAATTCTCATATTCTCAAAAATCAACAAGTAATAACATAACCTTATGTTTGAAAGAGTATCATTATATTGTTGACACTTACCTGATTATTATTACCTACAATCTCAAATAAAGAGAATTATATTCAAACAAATATTGATTTAAAAATTAAATATCTTAACATAATGTATTTAATTTATTTTATTTATTGAAAATATATACACAAAATGATGATTGCATATACTTTCCTCGTCAAACTAAACTTCTTATAAACTTGACTTTAGTTTATCATAATAATGTCTTTTAGATATATGAAAACTATTTTCAATAGAAATAAATTTATAAAAAAATGTATGAAGAAATGTAAAAACATATAATTTAAATATTATTAATAAGTCATATGTGTAAAGAATAGTTTTAGAAAACATTTAGTACGATTTCAAATGTTCAAAAATCCAAATTAATTACAAATAAAAACGAATCGAGAACAACATAAATATTGAATTAATTTTTTTTAGATTTATTTCTTTTTTTAAAATATATTCAATAATTTTTAAACTATTTCTATTAAATTAATTTTTTTTAAAACTATTGTTGGAATATATATATTTAAAAATTTTATATTTTTAAATAATAAATTTCAAAATTTAATTGTTTAAGGAATTGTTTATTTAATAAAAAGTGCTATTTTTTAAGTTGATTCTTTTTTTTACTATATATAAAAAATTAATGATATATTAATTCATATTGTGTATATATATATTAAAACATATTAAATATATTAAACATTTTAATTTATTAATTTAAAAGATATTATTCTTATATTTGTAAATAGTAATCAATGAAAATGAAATAAAAATTTATTTTCGAATTCATTCAATAACAAAATTAAATTCGTTTAATAACAAAATTTCACAATATTAAAATTTTTTTTTACGCAAAATGATATAAAAAATCAATTTATGTAAAAAAATTGTTAAATTTCATTTAAAAAAGGAGTTTCAGTTAAAAAATATAATGTTTTAAATGTATCAATACACTTATGAAAAAAATTATACAACGGAATAAAAAAAATTTATTAAATATTGTAAAACATTTTTCTAACTCTGATAGAAACAAAACTATAATTCAAAATTATATAATTATATAATTCGAAAAACTATAAATCCAGTTAAAATTCACTCAATAAACAAAATTAAAATTACTCTATATATGGGATTAAAATAAATCTTATATTACTATTTTTAGAATATTATAATATATTTAAATATAGTATTAGTTGGAAAATATATACAATGTAAAATATAAAAATTAACAAAATAGTTTAAATTTCAAAAATAATCATATCTAAATAATTAGTGTCACTTTTTTTTACAAATTGCATATATCAGGGGGCTACTTAAAATCAAAGAATTATTTTATTGTTTTATATGTAGATTTTCTCATCAAATAAATGATTTTTATGATTTTAATAATTAGGCACAAAGTATGTAATTAATAAAAGCACTATATCTTTGGAGTTATATCTATTTTACAATACTTTAATATGAATAGAGGTATTTTCTGCTTTGCTGAGAATACCATTTCCTTAGGAACAGTGCTAACAGTTTTTTGTCTTATTCACTGGACCATGTTATATACAATGTCATTTCTATAAATCTATACTTCAAATGTACATCTAATGCTAACTGATATAGAAACACAGTCTTAAACTCATTACTTCTGTTTTGATATATATATATATACACAAGACTTTATAATAAAATAAAGTCTAACCAGTAATTAAAATAAATTTTTTGTACTGTGGAATATTCATTTACATTTTAAGACATTTGTTATGCAACAACAAAACTTTATAAATATATGTTTAATAAAAATCCTGTGCTTGAATTTAACTGAAAATTTCATGTTTATTTTAATAATGCATTAATTCTATAAAAAATATGATATAAAATTGTGCAATTTAAATTTTTACTAACTTG